ATAAACCCGAGACTCCATCAGCCTGAGACCGGAAGAACTAGATGGTGCCTGGCTACCACCAATGACCGCCCTGACAGGGAACATAACAGAGAGTCCCTGACGGAGCAGGAGAAAAGTGGGGTGCGGAACTCAAATTCTAGTAAAAAGAACTGACTTAATGGTTTGACTGAGACTGGAGATACCTTGGGAGACATGGACCCCGGACTCTTTTAGCCCAAAACTAAAACCATTCCCAAGGCAAACTCTTCAGGCAAAGATTAGACTGGACTATGGGACATAAAATGATACTCGTGAAGAGTGTGCTTCTTAGCTCAAGTAGACACATGAGACTAAACAGGCAGCTCCTGTCCGGAGGTGAGATGAGAAGGCAGAGAGGATCAGCAGCTGGCTGAATGGACATGGGAAATCCTGGGTGGGAAGGAGGAATGTGCTGTCATAGTGTAGGGAGAGGAACTAGGTTCACACAACAATATGTGTATAAATTTTTGCTTGAGAAACGAACTTGAATTGTAAACTTCCACTTAAAGCGTAATAAAGAAAAAAAAAAATCACTGAATTGTACTCTTACAATGGGTGGATTTTATGGTTTATAAATTACACTTCAATAAAACTTAAAAAAAGTGTCAAGGTCATGAAGGACAAAGAAAGACTGAGGAATTGTTCCAGATTAAACGACACTAAAGTGATGTGACAACTAAAGGCAATGCTTGATTCTGGGTTGGATCCTGATGATGGGGGGTAGGGGGGAATACAGGATATTATTAGGACCATTTGATAAAATCTAAATATGGACCATGGATTGGATATAGTATTGATGAATCAATGTTAAATTTCCTGATTTTTATTATTGTACTCTGGTCATGTAAGAAAATGTCCTTATTCACCTGAGATCAGAAGAACTAGATGGTGCCCGGCTACCACCAATGACCACCCTGACAGGGAACACAACAGAGAGTCCCGGATGGAGGACAAGAAGGGTGGGGTGCAGAACTCAAATTCTAGTAAGAAGACCAGACTTCATGGTCGGAGACTGGAGGTACCCCGGAAAGCATGGCCCCTGGATTCTCCATCAGCCCAGAACTAAAACAATTTCCGAGGCCAATTCTTCAGACAGGGATTGGACTGGTCTGTGGGATATAAAGTAATACTCGTTAGGAGTGTGCCTCTTAGCTCAAGTAGATACAAGAGACTAAACGAGTAGCTTCTGTCCAGAGGTGAGATGGGAAGGCAGAGAGGGTTAGGAGCTGGTTGAATGGACATGGGGAAGCAGGGGTGAAAAGAAGAAGTGTGCTGTCACAGTATGGGGAGAGCAATTAGGGTCACACAACAATGTATGTATAAATTTTTGTATGGGAAAAATAACAAAAAGAAAATGTTCTTCTTCTTAGGAAACACACAGTGAAGGAGTTAGAGGTAAAAGGGACAAAATATCTCCAATTTACTCTCAAATGTTTCAGAAAAATACAACAGGCAAATATGTATATACGGAGAGAGAATAAATGATAAAGCAAATGAGGCAAAATATAAATAATTGGTGAATCTGAGTAAAGGACATATGGGAGTTCCTTGAACTTTCAATTTTTCTCTGAGATTTGTAAGTCTATGAAAAGCAAAAGTTACAAAAAATAACAACAAAAAACACCAATACAGGTGGGAGGAAGTAGGTGCAGGTATACATATAACAAGCAGCATTAGTAAGCAATTAATTAAGCACTGCAGATCTTAGTCACTAGAGCATATCCCTTGAAAACAAATCAAACAAAAACCAACTCTCCTCCCTCCCTCTCTCAGACCTATACTGATAAAGATACATTAGATACTCTAAAATCCTGACAGGCTCTAAAATGTGATGGTTTATTGCCACTTCTCTCACACCACTCTTTCTTTCCTTCATTTCTAACACAGACATGATCTCCAGGCTGAGGACCAAAGTGGACCTTCCAGGCCTAAACTGCTCTGGTCATGCAACCCAAAGAACTAAATCTCCCCAGTAGGCTATTCTGAGAGCTCAGTTTAAAATTTAGAAGATTTAAGGCCTATAAACAGTGGCTTCTCAGCTAACATAAGTACTCCTGAACCAGCAGCGTATCTTAAAGTACATTCACATTTTTCTGACTTATCAGAAATAGCAGTGGCCAGGAATAAGAACCCTCGTAAGCCCACAGGCCCAGGGCAGCTGGCCTGATTACAAACAATATCTGCCTATCTGTTTTCTCCTTGCTCCCTCTTTCCATCACTCCCTGGAAAAGCTGCTGTCTTTTCTTTAATTTCCTTTGGCAGTGTCTCTCTCCCTTACCCCAACCTCCCTTACCATATCCCTCACGGTATGCATCATACTTCAAAATAACTCATTTATTTTTGTGTTTTTTATTTCTTTCTAATGTTTTCAGTCGGTAAATGAGCAGATTCTGAGTGGTAGGACTTGGGGTGATTTCCTTCTTCTTTGTATCACTACTTGAACTTTGTATAATGATGCATTCTATAGCATTTTAACAAAAAAATTTTAAAAGCACTACACTTTGAAAAATCCCTAATTCTAGCAAATTAATTCATTTTGATCTTTTGTATTCTCTCTCCCTTCCTTTTTTTTAAAAAAAAAATTATTTCCAAGTGCCCTTCTCTAGTGAGGAAACTCTGGTGGTGTAGTAGTTAAGAGCTACATCTGCTAACCAAAAGGCTGGCAGGTAGAATCCACCAGGCACTCCTTGGAAACTCTCTGTGACAGTTCTGCTCTGTCCTATAGGGTCACTATGAGTCGGAATCAACTCCAAGGCAATGGGTTGGGTTTGGTGTTTTGGTTCCCTAGTGAACGACCTTTAACTAATTTTGTTTTCCGAGGAGGGGCCAAGATGGCGGACTAGTCAGATGCTTCCGGTGGACCCTCTTACAACAAAGACCTGAAAAAACAAATGAATCTATTATATATGACGATCTGGGAGCCCTGAACATCTAAGGCAAAGTTGAGGAACCAGATTGAGTGGCAGTGGGAGGGAGAGACGGTTCAGAAGCAGCGAGGAGTTGCCAGACCTGACCCAGCAAGAGCCTGAGCCCCTCAGCCCTGACCAGCTCGTGGATAAGCCATGAGGCAGGCAAGCAGTGGTGCTCAGGAGGCGTATTCTGCACCAGGAGAGACCCAGCTGCAGACTCTACTCGGCCACCCAGAACCAGTGAGAAGCAGCCCTAGATCGGCGAAAGATAAGTACTCGCCTATGGCCTACCAGCGCGGATCAGAAACACCCTCTTAGGGAAAAACTTCTCTCCCATTTATCTCCCCACTCCCTGCTCTACCCTGGGTCCCAGACCAGCTTCAGCAATCACCGAGTCCCCTGGGCCAGAAGTAGGATCTGTCACACGCCCTGAGCCATTCTCCCGGCCTTGGAGAGTGAACAAATTAACAAATGAGAAAAAACAAACTACCAGCTACCCTAAGCCAGGAACCCAGGGTAGGCATAGGTCCTTGGCCTAGGCACAGGCATAAGGGATCCACCGACTTTGAGTGCCTTTCCCCCTGCATAGACTTGTGTGGGCCCATTTCAACAGCTTAGGCCCTCATTACCACAGTACAACAGGGTATATATCAGAAGTCTAACTTCAACTGTTTCAGCTATGAAGTGGCAGGTTCGTGACATTTGACACTGCTCTGCAAATTAAGCAGGGTCTTCACCTACTCACATCAGGAGCCTGAGAACTGGTGGCTCCACCCACACCACCTAGCCACCTGCAATAGGGGCCCAAGAATAAGAGGTGCCACCCAGTCCTTACAGCCAACAGCGTTAGGTACTCACAGTCCAGCTGCAAAACCCACCCACCTACACGCTCTAGGGAACAGGGACATGCCTTCCTCCTGGACACTTGGGGGCGGCCATCAGCCCCCTGCCTTGCTCAGAGTGTGTCCCCATGCTGCAGCCAGATGCCTGTACCTACAGCAATCACCCATGCCTGTCTAGGACTTTAGGTGGGAGCCTATACCAAACACTTGGTGGCTATCTACCTGGGCACCTGAGCTAATCCATACAGGAGGAGTGGGCGGACTCCTCAGCTCACATACCTAGTAACAGATCTAACCACCTGGTGACAGGACATTAGAGCTTCAAAGGTGCCAATAATCAAACTAGCAAACTAGCTCACACAAGCAGCCTATTTGGGCACATCAAAACAAAACAAGAAGCTAGGACACAGTAAGCAAACATAAATAAATACAGTAACATTGATGGCTCGGAGACAACAGTCAATATCAAATCACATAAAGAGGCAATCTATGATGGCTTCAGCAAGCTCCCAAAATAAAGAATATGCCTCCCGAGCACCACTGCTTGCCTGTCTCACTCCTTACCCATGAGCTGATCAGGCCTGAAGGACTCAGGCTCTCACGGGGTCAGGTCTGGCAACTCCTCGCTGCTTCCGAATTATCGGAAATAGAATATAAAAGATTAACATACAAAACTCTTCAAGAAATTACGAAGGAAATTAGCAAAATGTAGAACACGCAATAGAGGAAATTAATAAGATTAGAGAAGGCTGCAAGAATCCATAGAGAGACAGCAATCAGAAATTCAGAAGATTTAACAATAACATTTCAGAATTAGAAATTCAATAGAAAGTCACAGGAGCAGAATTGAGGCAATGGAAGTCAGTGAGATTGAAGACAAAGCACTTGACACCAACTTATTTGAGGAAAAATCAGATAAAAGGATTTAAAAAAATGAAGAAACCCTAAGAATTATGTGGGACTCTAACAAGAGGAATAACCTACGAGTGACTGGAGTACCAGAACAGGGGGGATAACAGAAAACTAATTTTGTTTTCCCCTATAAGTGGCCCTCTATCAGAAAAAAAAGAAAACCCGCCCCACCCACTCTCTCTTAACTTAAGGAGCAACAGGAATAGACACAATGGGGCAGAGAACAATGAGGATATGGAGAAGCTCTGACCAGGCCACAGATTAAAGAACTAAGCCCTGTACTTTTTTATTCTCTACTATCCATTAACAGGCCTCTCACCAGAAAGATGTCTGCATAGCCAGCCAAGGACTCCACCCCTTCCTGGATCCGCGCTCCTCCAGAATCATTCAGTCCAATCACTGGCGCTCCCACTGTCAAGGCCTGGTCCATGATCTGAGACAGCATAAAAATCTTCTGTGAGACAACTACTCCTGATATCAAAAGCAGCATTTACAAAGCACCACGGTGTTTTCTAGAAAATGTTCTGAGTGTACCTTTCAAAATAGGAGGCAATAACACCGTTTTCATTCCCCATGATGATTGGGCACCTTCATGAAAGACAGAGGACCACATATTTTAAAAGCTGATTAAAGCCTCCAAACACCAAAGAGCCACAGCACTTCCTATTAGCAGAGGGTTAGACTGATCATGGCCACCATTTCTAGAATGGCTGGCCTAGGCAATAGCACTTGTAATATTTTTCAGCAGCATTTATTCCTCTGGAAGAACCAATAACAGACAGGATGGCAAAGTAGCATTTGCCTGGTAGCAGATGTTGACCCATGTGTTAACCTGAGGCCAGTCTAGGACTGCTTTTACGTCTAATGTGACAGATTTTTCTCAAGGTGCAGTGGTTCTGGCAGCATAATGAGCAGCATTCCTACAGCCCTTGACAGTTCAAAAAGCACTTTCACTTCCATTATCTCATTTAAACTTCATAACAGAGACAGCAAAAATGAAAAATCAGGAAGGTTTAAGTTAAGTGATTAGCCCAAGTTCTCAGGAATAAGGCATGGCAGCCATGTCTATAATCTAGGTGTTACATTACACAAGGATGCCCTGCCCAGCTGTTAACAGTCAACTCTACCTTTAATTCCAAAATTCTCTACATATGATGCACACTTTTATTCTGATCTCCAGGTCATCCAATCTCTAACAGTATTTTTAAAATACGATCACGTAATCCTTGCACTACTCCCTACCTTTTAGCACCTGGACTCTCCCCCTAGACCAGGGGTTCCTTACCTGGCGTCCTCAGACCCCATGAGGTATTGAATAAATTTCAGAGGGTCTATAAACTTGGATGGGAAACCTTTATATCTTTATCTTTACCAAGGCTAGCTGATCCTTAGCCTTCAGTTATTAATATGAGCAACAAGCCACAGTAATACTACAAACACCTGTGACTTTGTCATTGATAGAAGCCACAGATATCTTTATGCACTGTTAAAATTGCTGCAGATATTTTAAAATATCATTTTCACTCATCCCTACTTTGAAATTACAGTAGTTACTAGATCCACTGCTAAATCTTATTATTTAATGCATTAATAAAGAAGCATAGGTTACTATATTACAAACATGGTTTTTCAAAAATATTCTTAATCTTTTGTAATCCTAGTATTTTATTTTATGCATGTAAAAACACGCGCTGAGATGAGGGTCCAGGCTTCACCAGCTCACCAAAGGGATCCATGATACAAAAAGTGTTTTTTTTTTTTTTAAAAAAAAAAAACTTGCCCTGAACTGAAGGCACATTCAGGTCAGTACCTTCTCTTGACTACCTCTGCCCACCCCAAGTACCCAGCTCAGTGTCTTGCACCCTCAAGGATACTTAATATGCATGCTGTGACTGATAAAAGGACTAGGTTTATTCCAGGGCTCCCAACTGGTTCTCCCTGGTTCAGTCATGGCCGAGGAAGCGTAACCGGAACAGACTCAAATTTTTAAAATTGGGTGAATCAGAATGGGAAAAATTACAGGTCAAAGCCCCACTAGAAACCTAATCTCCCTCTCAGAAAACAAGGGCAGTGTAGGAAGCTGCATAGCAACCAAATCTCTTGCCCGTGGGATTTTGAGCAGAATCGGAAACAGCAATGCCCTGCTCAAAGATGGGAACCAACTGAGCTGCTCGGAATGCATGTTGCTCTCCACAGTCCTGCCAATAATCCAATCTCATGAATCAGGCTCCTGAAAGGGCTCACTACACCTATTCTAAGACTCCCATTCCAGGGCTTCAACCCATAATTTTTCCCATTTTGGTTATCATTCTCGATCACCCAAACTGTAAAAATTTAGGTTTATTCTTCCCGTTTCACTTCATCAGCCATGACTGAATTGGTTCATACCTGTTCGAAGTCCTGGTTTATTCAATATAAACACTTACTTTGCAGATCTTTTGGGCATGTGCTCCAGACAGACTCCCTCCAAACACTGTAAAATTCTAAAAAGAAAACACAATTAAACCAACAAGTAAAATAGAGGGATCGGTCAGAAATGAATCCAGTAGGAAAAAAATGGAAACTTCATAAATAAAGGATTAAAAAACTAGACAAAAATCTGATTTATAAATTATTCCATAGAAAAGTCAATAAAATCTCTTAAAGGGAGTCATGTATTATTACCAAGTCTTTGCTCTACAAAAAAGATTTGGAGCTCTGAGTAAAGGAAAACTTTTCATGCAGAATTAAACCTATTATTAGATTTTATGCATGTCAAACAGACATTTCTGTTACTAGGAAATATGCACCGTTTTGACAAGGAAGAGAGAAAACTGAATCAGAGCCCTCACTGCTGCCTCTACTTGTGGACTTTCATTACTTTCTGATGTGAACGGCTTTTTATGGACATGGCATCCTTCCTAAAACTCTCTCAAAAAGACAGCAGGGAATTAAAAACAGAATCAACCCATAAGGACCAGAAAGGAAGACAGCAGAGAGGTTAAACAGATTTGAGGGGAACTGAAAGCACAAGATGAAGTAATACCTAACGTAGGGGAAGAAAATGGAAGCCCACACACCTGTGGAGAGGTAAGCATAAGAGACAACTCAGGAGCCATGGGAGAAAGGGGGAGGCTGAAAACAGATTAATAGAAAGTCTATGTTAGGAGCAGACAGATCCCACAAGATCCTTCCTTCAGCCTGAGAGGAGAAAAGGTTTATTCTCTAAAGAAATTTAAACAGAGGGGCTCTGGGCTCACAATCACAAGCTCTAAAGAAAGGCAAAGGTGAAGTTGAAACACAGAGGTTAGGAGCAGGGCTTTGAACCCTGCTTTGTGCCAGTTCGAACCCCTGCTGAGAATCTGCATTTCTAACAAGTTCCCAGGTGATGTTATTAGTCCTGGTTAAGGATCAATTCTGAGAACCACTAGCAGAACAACCAAACCAAACCAAACCCAACACATTGCCACTGAGTCGATTTCAACTCATAGCGACCCTACAGGAGAGAGCAGAACTGCCCCCACAGGGTTTCCAAGGCTGTAACCTTTACGGAAGCTGAGTGCCACATATTTCTCCCATGGAGCAGCTGGTGGGTTTGAACTGCCAACCTTCTGGTTAGCAGCCAAGGGCTTTAACTATTACACTATCAGGGCTCCTAGAGCAGTGGTTCTCAAAATTTATTATACATAAGAGTCACCTGAGGATCTTCTTAAAATGTAGATTCTGATTCAGTATATCTGGGGTGGAAATGCAAATTCTCAGCAGGAGTTTGAAGCCTTTGTAAGGAGCCTGTACCAAATGATGAGCCAGCACTGGCCCCTCCACCAACAACCCAGCTTCCCCTAGAACAGACCAAGCAGGTTATCAGGCAAGAGACTAAGGATGATTCTCTGGAGAAACAGAACCTCCCCCAAAAAATCACCTACAAATTCTGACACTTTGGGGATCACTACAAAAAACCTGGCCCATCACTCCCCACCCCCAGCCTCCTGGCCCTACTGCAAATTCCCCATTTTCCCCAAGGCCTTCCTCGATTTAAGACGTGATCTTCCCCTTCTCTAAGCCCACAGCGTTTGCCTACAACCTCTCTTACCCTAACCACACTGTAGTTACATCTGTTCTGCCCTATTCTACCTACAACATGATTAGCTTCTTCAGGGCAAGAACTCTGTCTCAGTCATCTTCACATCCTCCTCACCCCACCCTACCCACGGGCATAAAAGGTACTCAAAAGTAGCAGTTCATTGAATTTTTGTACCTGCTTAATAGTTAGGAGAACTGCCATGTCCAAAAAGCACAAAAACTTTCTTTGTTCTATCTTTTGATGGTTTCTTCTGTACAAGTTTTTGCTTAAACCCAAAAACCTGTTGGCGTCGATTTTGACTCATAGCAACCCTATAGGACAGAGTAGAACTGCCCCATAGGGTTTCCAAGGCTATAAATCTTTACAGAAGCAGACTACCACATCTTTCACCTTCAGAGTGGCTGGTGTGTTCCAATGACTGACCTTTCTGTTAGCAGCTGAGTACTTAACCACTATGCCACCAGGGCTCCTTAGTTTTTTGCCTAGTTTTCATAAATTGCAAAAGCTAAGAAATGTGATTCTCTCTAGTTCAGCACTGGGTAGACCCATTTATAATAGCTCTAAAATATTTCAAAGATAATTCAATTAATAAATGAGTAAGTACTGTCTGAATACAATAAATTTAAAACTTACCAAATATAACTATTTTAATATCAAACTCAGAAAACATTTTATTAGACAAACTACATAACTTCAGGCCTGTAAAAGGAACATTTAGAACTTATATATTTCCATCTTTCAAGAGGGAAAAAAAATTAAACCCAAAATAGTATACAACATACTCTCTATATTAGTTTTCTACTGCTGCTGTAACAAATTACCACAAATTTAGTGGCTTAAAACTACATAAATTTACTGTCTTACAGTTCTGCAGTTTAGAAGTTCCACACAGATCTCACTGGGCTAAAATCAAGGTTGGCAGAGGTATGTTCCTTCCTGGAGGCTCTAGGAGAGAATTTATTTTCTTACCTTTTCCAGCTTCTAGACCGTCTGCATTCCTTGGCTCGTGGCTCCCTTCCTCCTTCCTCAAAGCCAGCAATGACAGTCAAGTCCTTCTTAAATCACATTACCGTGACCTCCTCGTCTGCCTCCCTCTTGCATTTTTAAGGACCCTTATGACTACATTAGAAAGCCCTTGCGGTGCAGTGGTTAAGAGCTCAGGCTGCTAACCAAAAGGTCGGCAGTTCAAATCCACCAGCCATTCCTTGGAAACCCCACGGGGGCAGTTCTACTCTGTCCTACAGGGTCGCTATAAGTCAGGATCAACTTGATAGCCAATGCGTTTGGTTTGGTATGATTACATTACAGTTGTACTCTGCACACATTGGGTCCCCATGAGTAAGAGCCCACTTAACAGAAACTACCAACAACGATTACATCTGGCTCACCTGGATAATCCAGGATAATCTCGCTATATTAAGGTCAGCTGACTAGCAACCTTAATTTCCCCTTTACGCTTTAAGGTAACATATTCACAAGTTCTAGGGATTAGGACTTGGACATGAAAGAGACCATATTCTGCCTACCACATTCTTCCATGATTTGAGTTTGAAGAAATTTTATCTGTCTTTTAATGCAATCTAATACAACTTGTTTAAACACTTTCATGAAAGCCCAAGTACAGAAGCCTGTGATTCTGAGAGTCAGGTCACCTCCACCCAGGCTGCATCCACTGCACTCTCTCTGGTCCACACACGATGCCCAGGACACAGCTGCCTTTCGGGCACACACTTAACCCTGCCAAGAGGAATCTCACTGACTTGGAATAAACTCCTGGTTCCTGGGACAATTTATTACATGCTTACTACCCTGTGACCCTCCCCAAACCAACTAGACTCTTTCTCCCTAAGAAAATATACACAGTATAATACTCTGGAAATATGCATGGAGAAACAGAAAGTAAATCCCTCATCTGTTCAAGCTTCAGGGAAGTTTACATTCCCGAAGACTGTTTTCTTCTTACATACTTTGCTCCTGGCTCTACCCTACAGGAAAGCTCAGCCTACTGGAGTTACAAAATACCTGACTGAAGACATAAACCAATCTTCCATTGATTCGGCCCCGTCCAGTGACCACACTGTCTCCAGGAAACTACCAGAAAAAAAATGGAAGAATAAAGGTTAAAAATGCAGATACTTCTTATAATGAATTCATCAATAATGCCAAGAAAAAAAAAATGGAAGGAAAAAAAACCCCCACCAAATTCCGTAAAATTCAATATGAACAAGGAACAAGAAGGAATTCCCCCCCAAGGCCTGCAACAGCAAGCACAGTACTGTTTCATCAACAGGAATGAAGGGCATTGTCATCTTAGGCCTCACTCTCCTTCCTAAAGCAGAATAATCGAGAGGCCCTCCAGGGCCACCCCTACCAAATGCTCATGAGAAGGAGGACATATAAAGAAGCAGGGCAACTTCTACAAAGCCACACCGTCACCTCTAAACATAAAGGCAAAACAAAAACACCATTCTGCATGGAATCTCAGCAATCACTGTGTGGCCCATAATGGAGCAAACTGAGCCAACTGCTTTGGTGCCAAATTTACAAATCCTCAGTCACAAACAGTACATATGCAGACCTGAAGAAAACTAGGACCAAAAGTGAATCCAAAAAACTTTATACACCCATGGAGGGCATGCCATTGAAAGAAGTAGTGTTGGTGACTTTGACCTCAAAAATCTCAAAAAAAAGGCATAAACTTAAAAGTATGTCAAAAGAAGCAACTGGTCAGCCTTTAGGGGCCCCGGTGTCTGGACAAACCAGAACACAACTAGAAGACTCTTCCTTTCAAGTTTATCTTTCTGTACTAGCAAAAACTCTGAACCCACAACCAGAGCCCTGGGAACAGGGCCAAAGTCATACAGCACAGGGTACCAGCACCCCACCCACACTCCTTCATGTATTAACAAAGGTGAATGGGAGACCTGGAGGCCCAGTGCTTCTCCAGAGATTCTGGAATTCCAGGACCACAAACCTGAAAAATTTTAAACGTATTCAGAGTCCCAGAAGGACTTCAGAGAAAAGTGGTATAGACTCATTACTTTAGTGGGTAGGCTGGCACAGCCACTCGTGAAAAGTGTAGACTAATACCTTATTCTTATCAGCAGCCATTCCAAAATCTGCACATCTGTGTTCCACAAACATGTCGCTCTCAACAAAGCTTCCAGGGTCCAACAAAAGACTGATCCGCTCTCTGGCCGTTAACTTTCCCTAAAATGTAACAAAGATTACTCAATGATGCTATCACAAACAAGGTAAGCAAAGTAAGGGGTGCTTGTGGGAAAGCCAGGAGGACAGATTTTACCCCTTCATCCTAATGATAAAGCCTCCATTTTGTCTGACCTACCCAAGGTAGACATGCAATATCAGTAGATATCAGAGAGTAAGGCAATCAGGGCAGACAAGGCACTCTAGGAGCCATACAACTGTGGAAGGCAAATAAGGAAGTAGGAGAGGAAAAAGGTGGAGGAGAGAAATGGGGGTAAGGAGAGCCTGACCCTAGAACAAAATACTAGTCCCAAAAACACTTACTGGAGACCTAAGGTGCAACAGAAAGAAGAATGGAGCAGCAGGATGAAGGAATCTAAAGCAGGCTTGATTAAGGATCTGAGGCCACATGCCCAGCTTCTTCTAGGGAAGCCCACAGAAGTACACCTCACCAGGGTCCAGCTGACATCCCAAATCCAAGACCCACAACTTCTTGGTTCTTCTTCTGCCTCCTCATGGGCTTCTCCTTCTTCTATCCTCCATTTGGAGCCCTCCTTAGGGACACTACACCTGACAGTGACACAATGATACACTGTTGTGGCTAGTAGAAGGGGAGTGGGACAGAGAGCACTAAATAGTTCACTCAACAGAGGTTAAAAAAAATGTTTCTTAGAAGTGGAGGTTGGAGTAAAAGAAAATGTTTCTTAGAGGGGGAGAGGATGGAGTCCTCAGTCTACCAAAAGCCTTCACTGTTTGGGCACCCTGGCCCTCAGCCCCAGCCAAACACCCTGACCTACAGTCTCCTCCAAAAACATCTCAAACTGGCAATTTTTTTTCCTCAGGAAAGTAGCCCAAGCCAATAAGGTTGTGTTAAAACAGACAAACAGGCAATCCCATACACTGTTGCATAAAGTATAACAAATTTTCAGAAAAGCAATTTGGCAACATACATCAGTTTCTAAAATAGTCATACCTTTTGACCCAGTAATTCCACTTCTGGGAATCTATCCTAAGGAAATAGTCCAAAAAAAATTTTTAAAGAGAGTGAGAGGGCTTTACAGCCAAAGATGTTCATTCAGTAAGTACTACAATCAAAAAAATTAGAAACTTAAATTTCTCAAATTAGGTAAATAATTAAATATTGGCACGTTTTACATAAAACCATTAAGAAATAACCCTAGAGATATATAATCTTAATAACTATATAATATTTCTTGGAATACAAAATACGATAGAAAAAAATTGTATCTTGGCATATGTCTGCACATGCACAGAAAAATATAACCTCAAATGTTAACAGTGCTACTAGGCAGTGGGATTATAAATCTTTAGTTTTTTTGTTTTTGTTTTTTGCTTCTATTTTCTAATTTTTGTAAAATGAACATTACTTGCATCATTTAGAAATTATAAAAACATTTATAAAGAACTCCTATAATACAGAAAGTATTTGTTCTGGGAGAGGTGGAGTCAACATGGCGCTATAGACAGAAGGACCACACCATCCCTCCACAGCAAAGACCTGAAAAACAAAGTAAAACAGAGACAAACGTCAGTCCTGGAACCCTAAGTGTCAAATGAAGAGATAAAGAAGTCATCCAAGTACCAACTGGAATAAGAAACTGACAGAGAACAGACAGCGAGGAGAGAGACAGAGTGGAGGTCCTCTATCAACTAACGCAGCTCAGATTAGCCACCTTGGACTCCTCAGCCACTGAGATCAGCAGACAGGGACTGAACGACTGACCCTGCCCATTGGACATGGTGGTGAGAAGTACTGTGCCCACAGATGAGCAAACAACAAAGAACAGCCAGTCCACCTGCTCAGGCATAACCAAATAAAACAAAAAAGCAGGATGAAAGAAACAATCTACAATCAATAAACAAAGAAAATAACTATCGAATGTCCTGAAGACAGGAGACAATATCAAAACATATAAAAAAAACAGGACAGGATGGTTCCAGTAGGCCCCCAAAATAAACCACAAGATGACCTTCCAGCAGAAGAAAAGGCACTGGAACTACCTGGTAGGGAATTCAAATGTTTAAATTTCAGAGCTACCTAAGAGTTGAAGGAAAAAGTAGGTAAAAATGAGGAAAAAATAAAATCATGGAAAAGACAAACAAAACAAAGAAAGAATTCAGGAAAATGAAACAGGAACAAAACATCAAAATAAATTCACAACTAGAAATCATACAAAAACAGCAATTAGAAATCCAAAAGATAAACAACAAGGTTTCAGAAATGGACAGTGTCACAGAAGGGCTGAGGAGCAGGTTTCAAACAACGGAAGACCGGATCAGCAAAATTGAAGACAAATCCTTGGATACCACTTTGTTTGAGAAAAAATCATAGAAAAGAACAAAGAAAAGTGAAGAAACCCTAAGAATGATGTGGGATACAATCAAAGAAAAAATCTGTGAGTGACTGGAGTTCCAGAACAGGGGGAGAAAATGGAAAACAAAGAGGATCATTGAAGAATTGTTGACAGAAAAACTTCCCTAGTATCATGAAAGATGAAAAGTTGGCAATCCAAGAAGCCCAACGAACCCCATATAGAATAGGCCTCAAAAGAAAATCACCAAGGCATATCATAATCACACTAGCTAAAACCAAAGAAAAACAAAGAATCCTGAGAGCAGCTTGAGAAAAACAAAAAATCACATACACACGAGAAACAATAAGACTAAGCTCTTACTACTCAGCAGAAACCATGCAGACAAGAAGGCAATAGGATGACATACATAAAACCTTGAAAGAAAAATATTGCCAACCAAGAATAATATATCCTGCAAAACTCTCGCTCAAATATGACGGTGAAATTAGGACAATTCCAGATAAACAGAAATTAAGGGACTATGTAAAAACCAAACCAAACTTACAAGACTTAGTAAAGGGATTCCTTTGGTTTGAGAACAAACAGTATCAGACAACAGCCTGAATCTAGGATGCAAGACCACATCAGCCAGATACCAACCTAGGTAATGAACTCTCAAGGATTAATCAAAACCAAAAGATTTACAACAGGGAACCAGAGAGATTAACCTGTAAATGACCACACTGTCAGAACAATAAAAGAGGGAACAAACAGTGTTGGTATATAACTTTCAAATAGAGAGGAAAGCAAAGCAATACCAAGAAATAAAAGACTGGTTCAAACTTAGGAAGATAAGGGCAAATTTCAAGATAACCACAAAGAAAGTTAACAAACCTACTCATCAAAACAAAGAAAAACATAAAGTTTCAGTAAACACAAAATCTACAAAAACAAAAGAAATGGAAAAAAATCCACAAATAAGTAATTCAGTACAAGGGAGTAAGAGGAACAAAGAAAACATCAGCACCATCAAAAAAAAAGCACTATAAAATGACAGCAATGAACTCACACCTATCAATAATTACACTGAACGTAAATGGCCTAAATGCACCCATAAAGAGACAGACAGACACACAATGGATAAAAAAAACAGGATCCATCAATACGCTGTCTATAAGAGACACCCTAGAAACAAAGACATAAATTTATTAAAAATCAAAGCGTAGAAAAAAATAAAAGAAGCAAATAGCTACTAAAAAAGAGCAGGAGTGGCAACACTAATTTCAGATAAAATAGACTTTAAAACAAGATCTACCATAAAAAACAAAGAAAGGCATTATATAATGATTAAAGGGACAATCCATCATGAAGACATAACCATAATAAATATCTACGCACCCAATAACAGGGCTCCAAAATACATAAACTCTAACAGTACTGAAAAGAGAAACTGACAGTTCCACAGTAATAGTAGGAGACTTCAACACACCACTCTCGGTAAAGGACATAACATCTAGAAAGAAACTGAACAAAGATACAGAAGATCTAAAGGCCACAATCAGCCAATTTGACCTCACAGACATATATATAGAATACTCCACCCAACAGCTGCAAAGTACACATTCTTTTCCAACGCACATGGAATGCTCTCCAGAAAAGACTACATCTTAGGCCACAAAGCTACCCTCGACAAAATCCAAAACACGGAGATAATACAAAGTATCTTCTCTGATCGCAACCCCATCAAAGTAGAAATTAACAACAGGAAGAGCAAGGGAAAAAAATCAAATACATTGAAACTGAATAGCATCCTGGTTAAAAACAACTGGGTAAAAGAAGAAATCAAAGATGGAATCAAAAAATCCCTAGAATCTAACAAGAATGAAAACACATCATACCAAAATCTTCGGGACATAGCAAAGGCAGTGCTGAGAGGTCAATTTATAGCAATAGATGCACACATCAAAAAAGAAGAAAGGGTTAAAATCGAAACATTAGCTACACAACTAGAATAGAGAACAGCAAAAGAAACACACAGCCACCAGAAGAAAAGAAATAATAATGAACAGAGCACAAATAAATGAAATAGAGGATACAAAAACAACAGAAAGAATCAACAAAACCAAAAGTTGGTTCTTTGAAAGCATCAACAAAATCGACAAACCATTGGCAAAACAGACAAAAGAAAAACAGGAGAGGAGGCAAATAACCCAAATGAGAAATGAAATGGGGGACATTACAAAAGACATAACTGAAACAAAAAGGATCAAAACAGAGTACTACGAAAACTATACTACAACAAATTTGAAAACCTAGAGGAAATGGACAAATTTCTAGAAACACACAATCTACCTAAATAACACAAAATGATGTTGAAAATAGGAACAGGCCCATATCAAGAGAAGAGATAGAAAATGTAATTTAAAAAAACTCCCAAAAAAAAAAAAAAGCCCTGGCTTCACTGGAGATTTGTACCAAACATTCGGAGAAGAGCTTATACCAGTACTACTAAAACTATTTCAGAACATAGAAAAGGAAGGGATACTTCCAAATTCATTCTATGAAGCTAGCATAACCCTAGTACCAAAACCAGGCAAAGACACCACAAAAAAAAGAATATTACAGATTAAAATCTCTCATGATATAGATGCAAAAATTCTGAACAAAATTCTAGCCAACAGAATTCAGCATCATATCAAAAAACAACCAAGTGGGATTCATACCAGGTATGCAAGCATGGTTCATTATTAGAAAATCAATCAACGTAATCCACCACATAAATAAAATAATCAAGATCATCTCAACTGATGCAGAAAAGGCATTTGACAAAGTCCAACACCAATTCCTGATAAAAACTCTCAATAAAATAGGTATAGAAAGGAAATTCCTCAACATAATAAAGGGCATCTATACAAAACCAACAACCAACATCATTCTTAATGGAGGCTTGAAAACATCTTCCTTGAGAACAGGAACAAGACAAGGATGCCCTTTATAACCATTCCTTTTTAACAATGTGCTAGAAGTCCCAGCTAGAGCAGTAAGGCAAGAAAAAGAAATAAAGGCATCCAAACATGTGATATAGAAGTAAAACTGTCCCTATCTGCAGATGATATGATACTCTACATGTTGTTGTTGTTAGGTGCCACCGATTTGGTTCTGACTCATACCAACCCTATGTACAAAAGAACTAAACATTGCACCATCCTCACAATCATTGTTATGCTTAAGCCCATTGTTTCAGCCACTGTGTCAATCCATCTCCTTGAGGTCTTCCTCTTTTTCGCTGACCTTCTACTTTACCAACCATGATGTTCTTCTCCAGGGACTGATCACTCCTGATCACATGTCCAAAATATGTGAGATGTAGTCTCGCCATCCTTGCTTCTAAGGAGCATTCTGGTCATACTTCTTCCAAGACAGATTTGTTCATTCTTCTGGCAGTCCATGGTATATTCAACATTCTTCGCCAACACCACGATTCAAAGGCATCAATTCTTCTTCGGTCTTCCTTATTCATCATTCAGCTTTCACATGCATATGAGGCGACTGAAAACACCATGGATTGGGTGAGGCGCACCTTAAGT